CTCAGTTAGCTCAAGTATAAAGTACCAACTCAACACGGAGACTAAGGTTGGGTAAAACGGGCAACAGAAACGTGCAATTTGTTTTGCAACATTGCCGAAAAACGAGTTGAAAAGCTTTGTTGCGCGTTTTACTAGCCACGTTCAAAACTGTAAGCAACCTGATTTGTGGCAAGACAGGTTTGATGTGGGTGGTAAAACGTGCAACATCGCTACTCAACTGGTTTTGCAGCAATGACGCGAGAAAATATGCTTTTTTGTTGTTGCCCGTTTTACCGGACCTTAGGGACCGCAAACTATGAATTAAAAACAAAAACACGCAAAAGGACGAAAAGGTGTGGTGTCATGGTCGTTTTTACCACTACAACCAGCAGATTGCTTCAGGAGCCTGATATTTCTTTGTTGTTTTTTTTTGTGTGTGTGTGCGTGTGCAAATTAGGGACAGTAAAATTTACTAGGATTACTAAATTTGAATGAGAAAGGTGCACCGAAATGAAATCGTAATTAAAAAAATGGCGCCGTTGGGCAGAAAATGACCTTAATGCACGCAACACAGATAGGAGTACATAACAGAGGCGCAGACAACCTGTTTGAGTAGACATTTCCCGGTGCTTCGTGTACTGGTATAAATAATGCTGTTTAAACACGAAAAGGCTTAAAAAAATTAATAAATGAATATTTGAAGGCTTAATAGCATAGCGTAGTAGGAGTGTTTTGTTAAAGGTGATTATTCGAAGTGAGCCCCGTCAGTCGAATCGACGACGAGTGCGATATCGAACTTCTTATTGTAGGTTATGTCAACAGTCTTAAGTGTTGCTTACTCTTGGGGATTAAAGTAATACCAAACACATAATATCTCTACAAGTAAACAGATATGAAAATAAAATATTAAACAAATAATGATTTGTAGCATAACTGCATTTTGCCCGTTATTGTTTTAGTTAAAGTCAACAAGGTTGAAAACTTCAGACACGCTCAAGCAAATCCTAAGAGAAGAGAAGCATATGCTGTAAATTAGTCCACTCTAGTTAAAATTTGATTTCGCCTGTGCACAGTACGATTTATCTTTTAATGAAGCTTGGAGAGAACAAAACAGTACCAACTTGCGCACTAGGGCTAGCTACATTTGCTGTATTTCTCTCTTTTGTTTCGTAGCAGTTTACAGGTCTTTTTTCGAGGGAAAAGATACAGGCATCCATCGTACCCATGTCTTATATGGTAACATTTTTGACACGCCGATTAAAAACTGCAAAATCCGTAAATGAGCATTGTTTGTCAGCTGAATACTTCTTCAGTACTAATTCCTTTATGCTTTCTGGACACTTTTAGGAAATAGTATGCAATAACTGTTTCTTGCATCTATTTTTACTCTTTTTCATTAGCTTGGGTTTTCGAACTTAGGACATTCAACACGATAAAAAAAACACCAACTTATCCTGCATTTACTTAAAAAGGGATAATAATAGTAATAACTATGATAAACACAAATAAGAGAAGTAAGGTATAAAAAGTAATTCAAGATTATGAAAAAACTTACGTGATAAACGTTACGGAAGACAAAAAGCAGTACTAGCGGCTGGCGACACGCAAAGTTATCGCTAGTTATATTGTAGAGTTTTTTCATGACGTCATGGCGGCCACAATCATGTTCCAAAACAATGGAAGGGCGGCCAATGGTATTTCAAACACATCCTGTAGGTGTATCACTCTTTTCTTTTGGTAAACACCTTCTTTTGTTCCAATAACTTTTCATAGATGATGACTTCGTGAATGAAAACACACGAGGCTTAGAACCAAACTCGTTCCCAGGGTCCCTCTTCTTCCATTTTCCGAGCGGAGCTTGGCCTTGGTTTGAAAGTAGTCTCTTGACGGTATGTTAGAATGAAACTAGTTGATATAAGTGACAAGCCTCATATTTCGTAATATCACTAAAAATGATGGAAAAACTAGGGGATTCAACAATTTCGCATGGTGTCTACATGAAAAGTTTGAAATGCGATTGTGCCCTTACATATGGCTTTAGGTGATCTTTAAAGCAAATAAAATCTTGAACATGAACTGACCTTTTGTTGCCTTTCATATGACGTCACTAAAATTAAACTTCTAAACTATTGATCCTACTGAGATTTTAGGTTCACGTTGTATTAGACCAGGGTTTTTGGTTTTGTGATAGAGTACGCTTGAATTTCTAAGCTTTTGCGTGTGTGACAGAGCATGCACATAACGGCCGAAAGAGAGAGCTTTCATATAGGTTGGAAAAAGGGATTTATTTCGGGGAATTTTACTATTTAAAAAGTTCATGTGCTAGAAAAAGTATCACTTTATAATGTTTGTGAGTTCCTCGAGGAATATTTCACGCTTTTGTAGCACAACTCGGTGAAAGATGTTTCTGCTGGTTTCCGTCCGTCATGTTGGTACCCATCCATATGGGCACCTGCACGGCGTCTCCGTGCAAATATCGATAAATTTCGGTAACACATTTCTTCCGACAGTCGTCCGAAAGTCTTCCGATATCTCATATACGAAGTATTTCTCTGACCTAAATCTTGGCGAGCGTCTTTGCACATTTACCTCCTTTCATTTCCCAGATTCTGTACTTTTTACATCTGCGTGCCCTGAATCAAGAGAAAAAGGCCTACGATTACTTGTAGTGTCGAAAAAGTAGTAAAATGATTGACAGGTAAAAATAGATGATATTTAGCAATTCTAATCGGTCCAGCAGAAAGTCTCGAGAAGCGCCAGGATAAACATCATGTTTCAACCTTTAGTTTAAGTCAGCATGAAACCGATCGCAAAGAATAATAACTAAGTCAATTAAGCGCATTCTTGTATCGACTTGTTTATAACTTCAAGTGTTTGTTCAGTTTGGTTCGATTTGAACCAAAACTGGCTTATATTGTTTTTATGTTCCGATATCAGGTTATGTTAACATGAGCATCGTCTCATGTAGGTCGCTGTATCTCGCAACTACAGTGTTTCCCCATTCAAAGAAGTTTGTAGATGCCCCCGGTGCTGCGAAAAAAAAAAAGCCCTGGAACTCCTGTTAGTGACTTTGTAGCAGCGACTAAAATAAGAAATAACATACTTGTTCATCGAAATACTCGACAAATAAATAAAGGGAGTAAACAGACGGTTGGTCCAGTGTTGCAATCAGGTCAGCTGTGTAGCCGAACCGCAGTAAACCTACGCCAAATTAATGTCCTACTAACATATAGCGAGTTTTGAAATGGTATCTCAGTGAATTAGGTCTTATGCTGGCGTAGCGAGCAGCAGTAAATAAATACTACATAAGGACAAAAATATCTCCTTTTCCTTGCTCTTTGGATTAAAACTCGGCCTCAATACAGTTCCACAATGCAATCCGATCAACACAACACCGACCCAGTCTCACGCACAAGCTCAAAGTGGCCAATAGCCGACCACTAGAGATTGCGGCTTTGAAAGCGGAAACTATAACACTTACCTAAACCTTGTCCACATTCCTTAATTCCTGCAACTTGAAACCATATACAACTTCTTTTTAAGTATCCTTTCTTAAAAATCTTGATCAAGGCCAGTATATATGTGCGCATCAGACCTGGAGGGTGTCAGGCTATTTCAAATGTCTTTTGTGTAAAGAGAGCAGATTACACAAGCAAGAGCCGATATCGTGTTCTTAGTAAAAGGAAAATACAGTTGAACCTCTCCGGGACAACGAAGAGTAGAAAAAGAGTATCGACCTAGGATCGTGGTATGTTGTGCTATGAAAACACTGACATACAGTCTATTCGAAGAAGAAGTTTAAGTTTTACAATAAATAACAGAACAACCTCGATAAGCGGCCTTTTTGGTAGGAAATTCAGGAATCTTCGACATTTTACCTGAAACTACAGCTCCCCAGCACAACACGATAATGAGAATCAGATCTTGGACTCTCCGTAGAGAATGATGAGTCGCTAACTAGGCCATGGGAAAACGAGTGAACAAACTAAAAATTATTTTCTGCCAATCGAGAAATCTTACAGAGAATGTCTTCTAAAGGGAAAGAAGATGATTTTGTGAGAAAAATACGTGTGAAATAAAACTGGGTCGGTTTTGTTCTATACAATGCGTGTCTTCCTTCCACCTGTGGCGTAAAGTATTTCAGTTTCTCTTTTATGCAACTGCAAAATTTCACCTGCAAATCGCCATAACACCACTGCTTTTATCCGTTCTCTGACCTGTTATGTTTTAAGTCTTTAGGAAGCTCCTTAGGCTATTAAAAAAATCATCCCTGTAAACTTGGAATTATTCTCGCAAATTCAAGGTATCAACTGGGCAGGTTGATTACTTGACAACCACAAAAACAACAAAAATTTTCATCAATTTGAAAATAGTCTACAGTTAAGTCCATAAAAATTAGCTTAGGTTTAAGGGTTAGGGTTAGGGTTAAACTATTTAAAAGGCTAAAAAATCTATATATTAAAAAAAATCCAAAGGTTTTCACAAAATATTTTTAGCCTTGTAAATGGTTCACAGTTACCCACAATTTCCAAAATTTTATTCTCGGTGGGTGACAATACAATCATAGTCAATAATAATATAAAGTTTCGAAGCCGGGAAAGAAAATGAATAAACGAAAAAGCAAATCAAGGAAGCAACAGCAAAAATATTAGTAGAAAGGTTGTGCTATAACACATAAGATGGTGAAAGAAAACTATAGGTCTAAAGAAAGAGAAAACCGCTTTACCGTATTTCCTCGTATAATAGGCGTCCCTCGATTAATCGCCTCCTTCGAATAATCGCCCCCCTTTGACGGAAATATTTAAAATAATCGCCTCCCTCGAATAATCCCCCCCCCCGCCAACTTCTCTCGCCATCTTCTCTTTCTTTTATCCGCTCCCTGTCAGTGAAATGGAGTCTGATCTAGCAAAATTGATCAGTGACGACGATTCAAGCTCTGACGCCGAGGATATTTCAGTCCGCACTAATACCTACACTTTATTCTCTACCCATAGTGTACCCGTATTAGGTGAGACAATCCATGAGTCACTACACAAAATGATTTGGAACTGATGTTCCTTTCAAAAACAGTGAAAAGCGGTATTGCAATAAAGGGACAGGATTGTGCTATTACAAAGGTACTTTGGTCAGGCTGGGGTTCTCTTCACATATAACTGTGATTCGGTTGAAGCATGACCGTTATGCTCGCTTGAGTCCAATCACAAATCCCTCCACAACAAAAAAATTGACTCGGTTCATAACGTTAACAACAAAGGCAAATTTATAGTGATTTGTATGGGGTCATCAGAGCATAACTGGGCTAATATTATATCAGAGACAATTGCCTCGAAATGCTAGTGTTTGGCAAGTAGGCCATTCAGAAATGGTTCTTTCAGAATATCCCGACAAATCCCATAATTTCACAAATTTAATTTTTTATGACGTCACTTTCAAATCGCCTTTTTATCAAAACGCAGTCAATTGCCCGATACTGGGGTCAATTCAATAAAACTTTCACAAGTATAATTTGCAAAAATAAAAGCTACGCTTTAAAATTAATACACTAACTTGTAATAGTTTTATTAAATTGCCCTCTGCTCAAAAAACAAGTTTGATGGTACATATAAGTTTTTCTTTGAAACGGCACAGTAATTTTTAGGGAGTTATTATAACTCCAAAAATGGAGTAAAAATTTTAGGTACAGGATAACCCCATTTACGGGGTTACTTTAACTCCTAATTTAACTCTAAATTTGGGGTCATTTTTACTCCTGAAAAAGAGTTCTTTTAACTCCCAGTCTGGAGTTAAAAATGGGGCTAATTTTACTCCTTACATGGGTTGTTTATACTCTTTTTGGAGTTACTTAACTGTGAAAGTGGAGTAAAAGTTTTAGATACAGGATAACTCCTTTTTTGGCGGTTATTTTAACTCCTCAATATCTGGGGTGATTTTTGCTCCTGAAAAAGAGTTCTTTAAACTCCTTTTGGGAGTTAAAATAACTCCCCCAAAAAATAACTCCACTGTAAGGAGTTAATTTAACCCCACTAGAGGAGTTATTATAACTCCTTGAAAATTACTGTGTGATCAGACAAAGTGAAGATCGACGATTAAATCGCCAGACTTCTTTTTCACCTATTTTACTTGTGCGATAAGCTTTTAAAAGTGATCAGCATTTAATTTCTCCTTAACATAATACTGCTTGATCAAACAAAAAGGTCATAAAAATAAAGGAAATGATCAACAAATAGCGGCATTGACTGTTGAAGAAACTCTCTTAATCATTACTACAGAAAATGTACGGAGAACAGTATGGAGAAAATGCATGATGGTATATAGTTTAAAGCCCGGTTACCTTACAACCAACATTTAAAACGGAGAACAGTGTATTCATTCAGTTACTTCTTAGCTATATGTACATTAGTCTAGTCCTCTATAGTTTACAAGTTAATAGTAAAATTTTTTACGTTTTTTTTTCTTTGCCATAAAGAGAAGGACATCTCGTGATCAACAAATGGACGAAATTGGAGCTAGAAATCCACTTCATTCACTACCCTTCTATAACATCGCCATATTTGTTTTTCCTGGGTGGTGGACCTGTGGTGAAGTGAGTGACGTAACATTCAGTCAATTAAACAATGTCAATGCAACAATGTCAGTAACAAGCGTTATTGCCGCTGACCAAGTATGAGGTCCAAATAGGCGGGATATCCTGATTTCATAGACCAATCTTGTTCGTACAAATTTGGTCAATGAAAGATTTCAGTGATCACATGACTAAAACAAACTTATTTTTCAGGACAAAGTGGGCATTTCCGGTGATTGGACAAAAGAGGCCCATCTTCCTCACTAGTGCAGTGAATGAGATACCGCACAGGATTCGTTTCATCTTGCAAGGATCGCATAGCCAGTCATCTAATAACAGGAAATTTTGCTTCCATCCGTTGTGTTGATTTAAGTGAGTAAGGTAGGCACATTTTATTGGCAAGGTGAAAGGTTACATTTTTCACTGGGTAAAGAAATCTCATTTTTAAAGAATTGTCAAAATACCTTGTCTATATGAAGGCCTCTCTTGCTGATTATTACCCCGCTGACCCTCTTGGTTGCTCCCTTCGGCGCTGCTGTTGCTCATGTCAAACGTCCACGACAACGGGGTATCACTAGATCCTGCTGCAGCTTTAGAATGCGATTCTCCATCATGCTTTTGTCTAACCTATAAATCAACACAGAGATCAAAAGGTTTACGTCAATGTCCAAAATCTCTATGCATAAAAGGTCAAGATTCACCTTAACCGTCACGCTATTTTTAGAGACGTTTTAATATTGTTCTGGCTGGCTTTAGTTGTTCAAAAGTTAGATAGCGCTATCCACTGGATAAATCACCATCCAACGGGAAAGTATTAGGAAAACCAATCGCGCTATCCAGTGGATAGAGATTTCCTCCCGTGGATAGCGTTATCAACCTTCTGAACAACCAGGGCCTGGTGTCTCATTGGTTGATAGCTACATTTTTCAGTTTTTTCTTGGCTAGTTTTTTTTCATCCATTTGGATGACCACATTTGCTGAAACGTTTTTTTTAGTGGTAATTAACATCTTCATCCATGAAAACAAACCAAGAAATGCAAGCGTACACACTGGAGCAGGATTATTGTTCATGCACGTCGATGTGAATAGTCAGGGGGAACATTGCAAACTACAGGGACACTCGTATTGATTATTTACTTAGTAAGGCTAGCAGTAGGTTGTATATTATAAGAATATGTAAATATTATGGGTACTCTATTGAGAATTTGGACTTACTTTGATCCTTTCAGTCTTCACATATGCTATTGAGGTCTGAGGGTGCGCTATTTATACTAAATATTTAAGTAGAATTGATAAGCTCTTTGCTAGGTGTTATAAGTTAGGTTACTGCTTAAAGCGGTACAGTATCTTGGACATTCGTCGTAATAGAAATATGAAGCTATGGCCAAGCATCTCTTCCACCAACACTGCGTTGAGAGTTTTTTTACCTCCCCAGAGAACACGGCAGATGAGAACTAGGTCGCATTATTATATTCTACCTAATGTTCGGACAAGTCGTTTTAAATTAAGAAAACATAGCGCGCGTGCTTGCCCTATTTAAGTCCTATTGAGCCGCTATGAACAAAGTCTTTCTTTACCCACGCCCGTGCGTAAATAAAGATTTTTTTCATGATGACGTGTTCAGTTGTGTTTTTCGTCTCTTTTCCTAAGTACTCAAAAATCGACGGCAATGATGAAAAACTTTCTAGATTTTGCGGAACTTAGCTTCGTTCTAACCACTCAAACCAACAGCAAAAGCGGTGCAGATGTTTCGCAAATAATAGAGCCTGACTGATTCGTTGAAAAGTCTGCCGTAAAGACTGACATTTAAGTGGAAATAGACCACAAATTGGTCTGTGTCGGAAAATATCCAATTTGTATAAAGTGTCCTCCGTTTTTAACGTTTGTTTATCCTTTACAAAACAAGTTAATTATAAAGTAAGCTCAATAGCGAAAAATTATGCACTTTTGTTATCGCCGAACAATCCGACTGAAGCAGGAAAATTTCTCTTGAAATAACAAGACAAATTACACGAGAAGACATGAATTTATTACTCACAAAAACAACTGCTGCCAGGCCTTCTGAAGAAGCCGTAATGCCAGCCATTGTTCGTAAACGAATATAAGTTTAAGGTAGGATGACAGTCGTCTTCGCTAAAAAACAAGTTTTCTGGATTTTGTCGAGCAAAACAAAAAAAATCTTTTCAGCAAATCCAGACCATACTCCACGACTTCTTACGAACATGTGAGTATTATAACTTTAGGTGGACTTAAAGACTCTTTTTACCTTAATTGTTTCTGCTTAGTTTCCATTCGTTAACGAATAAATAGGGAACTTTTGTTTCTCAGTTTACAGAAAGAATTTTCATTCAAACCAGACGATTGTGTCGTGTTTGTAATCAGCCGATAGAAGCGTTTTTTATTGTGTCGCGCAATACGAGAATTTTGCAGTTAATCAAAAAGCAAGCATTTTTGTCAGCTATGTTATAAAAGAATTTGCTCATGCTTTTAGCTGTGCGCATATCGAGTTATGGATGCACTTGAAAAGTTTGGAGAGCACTCAAGAAGCTAGAGTTGCTCTCAGCTGCGCCTCGAGCAACTCTTACGCATCTTTATTGCTCTCTAAACTTCCCGCGTGCATCCATAACTCGATAATACGCACGCTAAGCATGAACAAATCAGTTTTTATTAACTAATATTTATTTAGTCGTTTTCCTTATGTATTTTTTTACTTTCCTTTATTAATTTTCTTGCCATGTAAATTGTTACACGTCTGTTTGCGCAATGAATGATAAACAATTAAAAACCTTTATTATTATTATTATTATTATTATTATTATTATTATTACAGTACGGAACCATTACCAGAGACAAAGATAACACAAATTGAATGATATCTGTAATTTTCTGCTGCTTTCCCAGCTCTCTCAGAGCCTGAAGCAGGCCACCGAATGATGACTATTAACTAAGTCCCGAAACACATACACACCTGGTCTGACCGACTGGTACCCGAAGGAGACATTGACGGAGGCGTCCACCGTTCACGATGTTTCTTTCTCAATTCTGAAAAAGATGTATGCTTGTTCTCCTTTTCTTTTTCCACATCAAAATAAAGGCTTGGAGGTGCAGCAGGAGCTTCCCCTGCAGTAGACTCTGGTACAGGAGTGACAGCCGTGTCACTGCGATAAGGAATGTTTGCTTCTGCTGGTGGTCTTTGAGTCATGGGAACACTACTGAACCGGTTACTGGGCTTACCACCCATTCCTGTTATCAAAAGGTTGTGTTAATAAAAGTAGTGCATCACATTACAGTATGACAAGCAACTAAGGGGGGGGGGGGGTGGATGGTGAGCAGCCCTCAGAATAGTTGCTAAAGAGCTACTGCTTGATTTTCCGAGTGCTAATCTAATTCCAGTGAAATTATCTATGCCATTTTCAAACCCTAATTTCACTTTGTCCTGGCTTATAAATATTGTGTTTAATTTGAGAACTCATGGTCCTGTTTTTAAGTTCCAAATTCGAGCTTGATCATTTCAATTAGCAAGTGAATACACACACATACACACACACAAAAAAAAACAAATCAACACAACCCTTTGAAAGTATAATGAATAAAGCTATACCTTTTTTAACAACACAAATCTTTACAATCTGTACAACTAACCTTGTAATTCAACATCTTGGCGTTCATATGGCACCCTTTCTGTTTCCCAATGAGATCTGCGATTTCCAGCCCTATTAAACATGAAAACATCATTGTTTTAGAATTCTAATAATTATTTTTTGGAAGAATTAACTAACTGAGTTAGTAAAGGTGATGTTGAAAACAGCAAATGCAGTTATTTGACATGAACTGAAACAATTTCAATTCCTATTAATTCAACAAAATTACTTATAAAAGGCCAGTTTAATGCTATACGTACATCTGTGTTGCCTTGACTTGATCAGCAAGTCTGGAATTTTCTAACTTCATTATCTTCTCCACACAAGTATTCTTATAAGAGCTTACACCTGCCAAAAACCCAAATCCAAATAGCCCTATGGAAACATCAGGTACATCTTTGATTAACAATATCATACCTGTTTAGCATTAAGCAGATCCCAGTAGTTCCTGCAAACTTACCTTTGTCTATTTGGATGACAAGAAATTGAAATTTCAAGGGGCATTAATAATTTTTGAATATGGGGTGTTTATTAGAGAGTAGGAAATTGATCAAGTGACAAACTTTCAGTAAACACAAAAACAGTTCACTTTTGAAAAATTTTGTTTGTATGAGCTGAAAGAGCATTTTAAAATTAGGTAACCTGCAAATTTTCAGCTGTATATCTCAAAAGTAGTGATTGCAATGGCCACCAAAAATTACAAGGATTTGTATGACAAAAACAACTCTTGCCACCCAGTCACACTTGAGTGGTTTTCTATAAAACTCTTTGTCAATGAAATAATATTTTTTAAACTGTTGTTAAATCTTTCCCTTACACATTTAAGGGCTTTAAGTGCCTGTTATGAACTAAATGGAACCCCATAATGCTAAACATAACGCCCCATAATTATTTGAGCCCCATAATGCTTAAGGATTTGAAATACATTGTATTTCATGACAGTTTGAAAAATTTGAAATTTACATGACTGCTGTGTTGAACAAAATCCTTTTACCTGTATAGTACAAGGCTGCAAATCTTTTAATATGGGGGAAATAACCTTGAAAATAATTAAAGACAGAATAAAGTAAAGTTTTAACCAAAGTTGAAATAAATTATTATTTAATCAAGATTACAATACTATGCCCATGTTTTTCAAACATTGAAAGTCATGTTTGTAAATACGGAAAATCAAACAACTTCACCAAACCAAATGGTTTGTTTCCTGTTTACTAATATACAATTATTTTGACTGATTGTATTAACAAGCTAGAACACTGAGGCATTTTTACTTTAAATAGAAATGTTTCACCCTTTCCTTCTAAACTGGTTTTATATTAAACCCATACTTCTTTCATTAACAGCCACCTCTCTGCAGTTAAAAGATACAAGCAAAACCTACAAAAAATAAAACTTTTTAAACTTCTGGCCCTGGCAAAGGTCAACAGTTTTCACCCAAAATTCTCAGTGTGCATTATGAAAACAATAACAACAAAAAATTTACTAAACTGTCTTACCACCATTTACTGCCTGCCTTAGTAAAAGAACAGAACAAACTCCAAGTGGAAGTCCTATGGCAAATATCAGTTCAAGAAAAAATTAATGTGATATTTGGGGGGAAATGTGAGAGCTGTGAGAGTTTTCTTTTATTAATAAAAATTAATAAAGTGATTATATAACTTAACGATCCATGTAGCAGACAGGTTCTCTGGTTTAGTATCTGCATATTATCTTGGCNGCCCCATAATTATTTGAGCCCCATAATGCTTAAGGATTTGAAATACATTGTATTTCATGACAGTTTGAAAAATTTGAAATTTACATGACTGCTGTGTTGAACAAAATCCTTTTACCTGTATAGTACAAGGCTGCAAATCTTTTAATATGGGGGAAATAACCTTGAAAATAATTAAAGACAGAATAAAGTAAAGTTTTAACCAAAGTTGAAATAAATTATTATTTAATCAAGATTACAATACTATGCCCATGTTTTTCAAACATTGAAAGTCATGTTTGTAAATACTGAAAATCAAACAACTTCACCAAACCAAATGGTTTGTTTCCTGTTTACTAATATACAATTATTTTGACTGATTGTATTAACAAGCTAGAACACTGAGGCATTTTTACTTTAAATAGAAATGTTTCACCCTTTCCTTCTAAACTGGTTTTATATTAAACCCATACTTCTTTCATTAACAGCCACCTCTCTGCAGTTAAAAGATACAAGCAAAACCTACAAAAAATAAAACTTTTTAAACTTCTGGCTCTGGCAAAGGTCAACAGTTTTCACCCAAAACTCTCAGTGTGCATTATGAAAACAATAACAACAAAAAATTTACTAAACTGTCTTACCACCATTTACTGCCTGCCTTAGTAAAAGAACAGAACAAACTCCAAGTGGAAGTCCTATGGCAAATATCAGTTCAGGAAAAAATTAATGTGATATTTGGGGGGAAATGTGAGAGCTGTGAGAGTTTTCTTTTATTAATAAAAATTAATAAAGTGATTATATAACTTAACGATCCATGTAGCAGACAGGTTCTCTGGTTTAGTATCTGCATATTATCTTGGCAGCATGCATTATAGCAAGAAACTCATTCTGATCAGCCATACACAGATCTCTGTTTGAGTACATCAAGTAAAGTATGTGATGTACTCAGAGCATTGGTTAGGCATTGGAGACCTTATGCAGAATTCTCCGGCTCATCTTTGGTAGCCTATGATGATTTTTATTTAGACATGGAGCCTCTTTCAAAACATTCTCAGTCCTGTGATGTTAAAACTCTCTCTTGCTACTGGAATTTTTAGTGAAAACCCTGTGTTCCAGGAGCCTAATTTAGATGCCCAACCACATCTGAGAGGTGCTTGAAGTACGATTTAGCCATTTTTACACCTGATCTGTGTTGTCACTTAAACATCACATGTGATATCATACAGTGTAATTTATGTTATTAATGGACGTCAACTACTGTAGTCACAGACATGATGAAACTTGTGTCTTACATCAATGTCTTGTTAGCTTAATTTATCTACTTTGTTGATGCTTTGTGGAGCCAGTCCAATTAATGCCGCATGCACCTTTAGCCCTATATGCATGAGATTTTCTGGGGGGACATTTGGGCTTATTACAGAGGGGTTAGTAACAGAAGCTCCTTAAGCTTTTGAACAAGAAAGGCCCACACAGTGCGGATCACCAAAATAAAGTTGGTCTAATCAACTCAGTTAAAGGGCTATAAGGTAGTCTGATGTAGGGAAAGCGGGTGAGAAGCTGAAGTTATAACCTCAGCTCCAATCCCCCTCAGCTACAGTGACCAATCTACTTGTCGACTCAGCTGATGACAAAACATTTTGTTTTTGCATTTTACTCCCCCATGGACTACTGACGTTTTTTTACAACTAACACCCTTACTGTGATTTCTAACCCTACATTTAAAGAAGGTTTCAATAGAAGATAAAAGAGCAAAGTCGTACGGTTGATTTAATAATAATATAAGCTCACGCTTACCTCTGAAATAAACGCTATTTATTCTGCATTCTTGAAGAACAGCCTTCTCTTCATCCGTAAGCTAAAAAAGAGAAAAAAATGAAAAGTATTCCTCAGCTCCTGCTCCCTATATAGACACAAAAATGTTCAGAAAACCAGTTTGATTTTTTTGTTTACTTCGACAAAGTTGAGGACTTCTTGAGGTGTGCCCGCCATGTTGAATTGCTGATAACTATGTCATATAAACCTACCCAAAGTTCTTCATTTCAGAAAACCGCTGGCCAATAATAACCTCGTTTGTTAATTTGTTGCTGTCAGTGCTGTCTGTTCGTTTCTTTAATATGAGGATGAGTAGTGAAAAAAGAACACTTTGGATTATCGTTAGGATTGGTGATGGTGAGGAATAACTCCCCACGCAACTCGCATTTTTTGAACAAATTGGTTCCTTGTCAGATTCAAGAAATATTTCCTTATTTAAGTTTTTAATTAAGCTTAAAAGTCGCCTCATCTCCGTTAATCTATTTTAAGCTTACTCTTACTCATCGCCTTTTTTGTGTTTGTGAATAGAAGTGTCTGATTTAAAACAATTCCAGTTCACTGAAGCAACGGAAGAGGAAGATGAAACATACGCCAAAGCTAAGTTCTTGGAGGTGCGTCATTTGCAATATCAAATATGCATCGCTGATAAGCTTACTGATTTTTTCAGGGCCCCCGCAGGGGGAGGGCCTCTGCGGGAGGGGGGGAGGGGTGTGGCAGGGACCCCCACTTTTTGAAAAATTAATAAAATAAGTACATTGGAACCTCGATATAACAAAGGGCCAAGGGAAGTGAGTGGCAAAATACGTTCGTTATAACGAGGGTTGTTAACCTATACCAAGATATCAAGGTTCTTTTTACTATTGCCCTATATTTTACCATTACTGGAGTGAAAAAAATAGTTCGTTAGACCGAGGACATCGTTATAGAGGTTCCACCGTAATATACATTTCCATATAAATAGTATCTTTGTTGGAATAAGAATCTTCCAGCATCTAAATTTATTAGTGGTCTGTTTCGATCCCATCAGTCCAATGTGTAGCCTCAAAATGCCTATCTTCACAAAACTGCACTTAGTCCTAGTTTTCTGCATTTTCAAACCAGCAAGGCTATGTAGTATTTGCCATGATGCAGAATAAAGTCTTTTTTGATGAAGCCTGGTTCNTACATTTCGATATAAATAGTATCTTTGTTGGAATAAGAATCTTCCAGCATCTAAATTTATTAGTGGTCTGTTTCGATCCCATCATTCAAATGTGTAGCCTCAAAATGCCTATCTTCACAAAACTGCACTTAGTCCTAGTTTTCTGCATTTTCAAACCAGCAAGGCTATGTAGTATTTGCCATGATGCAGAATAAAGTCTTTTTTGATGAAGCCTGGTTCTTGATTAAATTTGAAGACTACTCCATGAACTACGATTTCTTAACACGAATTATGTCAGCTGATGATGTGGTCTCTGATGCATTTCGATGACATACTAGACAAAATGAAGGGGTTACAGGAACCTACAGGGCGGGGGGTGGGGGCTAGGGAAAAAGAGGGAGTCTCCAGATTTTAGATCTCCACAGGTTGGTATCTCTGTACAATGCACACCCAGGGTTGTCATAAAGAGGCGGGGGCCGGGAATTTCCCCCAGCTACTAAGAGAGTGGCCCCCGGCTACTTTTATTGGAAAATAGAAGAAAAATAGAACCAAAAGAAATCCCTAGCTGTTTAATTCCCCGCCTACTTGTTGTATTTACCCCGGCAACTTGAAATCTTAGTGACAGCCCTGCACACCGGCAAATTACCGCATTCAATTTATTTATTGTTTTTTCAGGCTCTTGTTGAACAGCTTGACATATCTGTTAAAGAGAAAGGAAATGTTCTTAAGGTAGCACTGTACTGATCTAGTTCTTTAAGTAAGAGGGTATGCATTGTCATTTATTTTTCAATCATGATCATTGACTCCCTTTTGCACCTTAAGTCTTAGTGTCAAAATATGCAAATAGGTATGGTTCATATCAGTCAGCTAGCAATCCAACACATCGTCAGTGGTTTTAATCAAGGTTTGAAATTATAATGTTGACTTGCTTGTCACATTTCATTTTTGATTCTTACTCTTTTTTTGGTTTGTTTGCCTGTTTGTGTCTTTGTTATTAATATAAATATATATTTTTAGCGAGTGTGTGTTTTTGTTTAGATTGTACATGTGAAATCCTTGGGGAACTTTAGGTACAGTGAAACCCCTGTATAACGAACCCCGCCATAACAAAGACCACATTATGACAAAAAACATCTGAAAGCCGACAAACGACCCCTGCTATGATGAACCCTGCTATAAATAATGACAAAATCCTCACTATAATGAATAGAATGACAATTTACCCCGCTGTAACAAATATTTTGTCTGGTCGTTAGCAGCAGTCAGTAAAAACGACAGATTTGAGTTGAAATCACAGCTTGCTTCAATTGAAAGTGTTTTTGAATCTGATATCTTGATCTTCAGCACCATACACTTACAGTATCATATTATGTTTTCTACATGCATTATTGAATTTTGGTAATTGTTATTTATTAAATTACCCCGCTATAACAATATTTTTGCTGTTAATGGGGTCTTCATGATAACGAAGACCCCGCTACAATGAACAATTTTTTTGGTACTGTGGCACTTCGTAAGAGCAGGGTTCCACTATAACTGACTCAAATAACCTTCAGCTGTTTTCTTTTTTCTTTTTTGTTTTGTTTGTTATTGTAACAGTTGAGAAACGGAAGAGGATCACTGATACCTTTAAGCAGGCGAACTCCAGAAAATACTGTAACAAGGTTAGTTCTGCTAATATTTTAGATGTCCTTTTTTCCCTAAAGACATCTAATTGGAAGGAATTTTTATTACAGTATAACTGGAAACATAAACAAGTTTTCTTCCAAAATATTTGAGGTATGAAATAGCCCATTTTACAGTTACAGTGGGAAATGAGGCTGGAGTTGACCTTGTTTTGATACAACCATTCCTGTTTTCTTCTGTAAACCATGTTGTTCTTATGCTAATTAATAATATTTTTTAAAGCATAGTTTGCATAAGAAAGGGAAAAATGTTTTTTATCAAAACAAGCTCTACCTCAGCCTCAAGGTCACTCAAAGGCTAGGATACTAACTAACCCCACAACTGTAAAATGGTGTATTAACCAACCTTATCAGTCATTTGTGCCTGGTTACAAGGTCATCACATGACCTAAGGTCTCACTTAGTTTGTTTAGGCCATTTTAAAGTTATAGATGGAAATGAGGCTGCATGGAGTTGACCTTGTTTTGATACAACCCTTCCTGCTTTCTTATGTAAATCAAGCTGCTCTTATGCAACTAGTATTTTTCAAGCATAATTTCCATAAAAAAAAAAAACAAATAAAGGAGGTTTGTCTCAAAACAAGGTCAACCTCAGCCTCACACTCAATCGAAGGCTAGGCTACGAAGTGCCTAACTGTAAAATCATCTATTCTGCAGTGATAGTGAGCCACCAGTTGTTTACCAGTCACAAAAGGTTTCAGAAAAATCCAGTTGGAAGGTCATTTCAGTAAAAAAAATTCTGAGAGCAACAGTATTTCTGAAAAGACAGTCCTTTTTTCCAGTCAAAATGTTTCAAAGAGAAAAATTATGTTCAATAACTTCAAAGTCATCCTTGATACCAGTTTCAGTCTTTCATGGTCATTTTTGTAGTAAATGGAATTGATTTGTGGAAATGCTAAAGGTGATTCCAAATCAAGATTTACCACTCCTGAATATTGCTTACCAAATGTTAACATTTGCCCAAACCATGAACTGCCATTTTTCCAGCTGAGGTTCCTTGTTGTGTAGGGCAACTTCAAACTTATCTTCAGTAATAAAGTACCTTTGTAGTTAATTTGGATTAAAACTGTTAAGTTGCAGACTCATGAGTGAAAGAAAAAATTTCCCAGGTGGGATTCAAACTAGTCTGCATTGCAGATGAAACTATCTTCTGAGTAGTTAAAGCTATCTGCCGAACAGCTTATAGAGTATACATTGCAATGAAAGTATTGATCTTTACAGAATTTTGTCTACATTAATTTTGCATTACATGTAGGATGCTATCAAAAGTTAACAGTATTTTTGTTTTGTTCGAACAGCCCTTATGTTCTTGAAGTTTGCAAGAGACACTCTTCAGGTAAAAACTAAAACCTTTTTAAGAAATCAAAATTCCAAGTTCTCTTAAACAATTTTTTTTTTCAAAACTTACAGGCCTAAATTTCAAAGTGCAGTTTTCACATAAGTGTCACTAGTTATTTGCTTTGTCATTGCATTCAAAGTAGACAGACTGCAAATTATATTAGTTGCTAAAAAATATATATCTACGTGTCGCAACTGTTCATCAGTAGGATGCCCAAATTTTTCTAAGAATAATGATACAGAAAAGAAACACAACATGTCACGTACCAATCTGCTGTTGCTTGGGTTTGCCTACATACAATAAAGAAAAGGGAGTTTAAGTGATGGCAACAGCAACAGCAGCAAGAACAACAAAAAAGCAATGACTTTTATTATAAAATGCGAATGCATTGTACTTTATTATTAACCTTAATGTCACGGTTAGTACATAACTTTGATGAGTGCCAACATTTGACGTATTGAATGAGGTGAGATAATAGGAGTGAAATTCTAGAAGCAGAATTTTCTCTTAGAGTTGACTGAATTTGAAAGACTTGGACAAAATATTGACAATGATACTTCATCCTCCACCCACCCTGCCCCCCTTCTTCAAGCAATGTTGTCTTCAAAAAAAGAACTTCACCCATCCACCCATTGTTTGTAAAATTTAACATTGTTTGGGGGTTGGACACGGAGCTAATTTAACCAAGTGAGGTCCCAACACTTTAGTACCTCCATTTTAAGCACATTATCAGTGATGCAATGTCCTCAAAAAATTTGTCAGTTAAATGGTTAAGTGACATTTATGCTGGCGTGGCAGTCGTGGTTGCTTAAGTGTAAACAGTTTTCTCAACTGTGTGTCATCTTTTCAGTAAAACCCTGTCCCAGAAGAGCTGATGTTCCAAGTTACAATGAGACTTACAAGAGGAAGTTACAGTTGTTTGGCAAAAGGGTGTGAAACAGTTCGTTTATGTCATTTCTATAAATTTATATGTTGTAATAATCAAATGTGTAAGCTAAAACCAATAAGAAGAAGTGATTTTTCCGGGATCATCATGATGTACCATTGTTAAGGTAAAAATAAAAAACAAACGTATTATGCATAGCTACATGTACAATCGTTTACCAAATTAACATTTAGTGATGGTAACGAACGAAAACGTTACACAAATACTTTTTATGATATTGAGTACTACTGCACCTTGGAACTAGGTCATTCAGTGGCAGAACTACACTTAAGGGGAGATTTAGCTTAACCTAGGGAGCTCACCCCCGCATTTTTAGATCAAACCAAGGCCCAGGGTGTCCTTCTAATCTGGAGGTCCCGATTTGCCGCTACTTGGTGTCCGTTTCAGAGGGGTGTCCGTCCTATACTGAGTCGTGTTCGGTATGTGAGAATTGACTGCATTCACAGGCGAATCCCAGGGCCAGCTTTAAATTAATTTATTCAAAATACTGGGAATTTCAATAAATGGGGGCTCGCCAAGTTACATAGCTTTTATTTCATAAATCCATGAGAAATAGAGCTTAAGTAAAAAAAAAAAAAAATCCAAAGCATTCAATGATGGAGATTCTACCGGTATTTTTTTTTTAGCAGTCGTGACAGGTGCCTTGACGCATCTATTTACTATTTACTATTTACTGTGACATGTATTTTCAGATAAGCAAACTAGAGGAGACGATTCCGAAACTTTCTCACTTGCGAGATGCAAAACTCAGTTCTGTGAGTATTAACAGTTTATACTGCCCTTTCACAACTTTAATACTTTACAGTGTTAAAATTGTGAAAGCAAAACTAACAACTGATATCGAAATTTGAGAACTTTAAGATACGAGTGTAAGTGTTGTTAACATGTCTTCATTTGTCTGCACTCGCCATGAGAGAACAGACTCAAACAATTTAACTTTATCCTCATAATATTATGCCTTTGTAACCAACAAAGGTGAAAAATAATAATCATAGTGAGAAATAAATCGAAACATTCAGTCTATTGAGAGAAATGAACACGTTGTTCATAAGTGTGCAAGTTAGTCCCATAGTATGAAGCTAAATTAGATACAGTTGTGAAGTTCGGTCAATAATCATCCAGCAAACTACATATGCTTTGTCGGTTGCGAAAGTGAATCGCGAATTTTTGCAAACTGCTCCAGTTTCAAATCATTGCTTTTGTTTTATCCTTTTTTTGTTGTTGTTGTTTTTGTTTTTTGCTATTAATGCAATTTAGTTCCTCTAATCAATAAATTGTTGTTTTTCGTTTTCAACAAACAGGAGATGAAACACTTAGAGCAGAGATTGAGCTTCCTGAATTCCAAGCTTCAGGTGTGTGACGTGTTTGACCAGCTCATAACTGATAAAGTAATGAAGCTTGTAGTGCATCATCATCTTTTCTTTGTTGTTCTTCCTTTATACAGGAGGCAGAATCAAGACAGTGGAAGGGGATGTTTACCAAACATCCTCTGTGGTAAACAATTTCAGCGGAATGTATGTCGTGCAAGTGTTAATATATACATTTATTTAATTGTACTCTGTAACCTTGACGTATGATAAGCCATTGCTTAGGCGAAGCCCTCATCACAAATATTGTGTGTGACATCCTTCTTTGTAGTTATTTTGAGCGGCTTTGGACGGTGTTGCACAAGGAATATCTGATATATCGGTCAACAAAGTTTTCAGTGAAAAATAATGGTTCCACTTCTTCTCGATATTTAGAAATCGGTAATAGTTTTGTGAAGTGACAAGAGAATAAGAAGTCCTATGCTAATGAGGAAAACAAAGATTCGTCAGTAAAAACCTCATTTAGATAACTTCTTGAATAAAAAAACTCGAAATGAATTCTGGAACGTGTCCTTAAATCACTTCATCATGAAATAACCCAATCAGGTAGGAACTCGAGCAACATTTTTTTTTCATAATTATTCTTTGTTTACAATACTTTCGCATATTACAATACAATACATAAAAATTTACAGTACTTTCACTTATTATAATACATCTACAGAACCTACATCTACGTTACAAAAAAATAGAAAAGAAAGACTTGGAAACAAATACTTACGCTAACTACTGTAATTGTAATTTACTTGAGCAACACTGATAATTTCATTCATCTTATAAGCTAATACCACTACCATTGTGATGCTATGCTTCAGAAAGTTTTGATCCTTGTTGAAATCAAAATGCTATGTTTTCTTGTTCTAAGTTTTGACAAAACGTTTTTTGAAAAGATACTTTTTATTATTCACTTTCATTCCTGTAAAATTCTCCAAAGATGAGTTATTGTTAGAAATGATACCATTTGAAGATAACTACTACTAAGTACTGTTGTACTTTCCAGCGTAACAAAGTAAATGAACATGATTAAAACCTTTTTTAAACGCCTTGTGTTTTCTAAAATATATATACAACGCACCCCAGACCAACAGGGTCGTAGATTGAGTACATTTTAGTAGCCTGTCATTACATCAATACGGTTGGTTTCGGGATTCAGGTGCGTGTTCAAGGTACATTCCTCAGCTGCGTATCACCAATTAAGTTTAAGGAAAACTGAAGTTTGATCCAAACAATTACAGGCTTATGCCTGTAATTGTAGCATCTGTTGGTAAAATAATACAGAGGATCGTCTTCAACAAGCTTTATATTGAAACCTTACAGCACTACGTAAAGTGACTAACGAAAAAAGACAAAGGAAAAAAATTCCTCAGTTGGAGAATCTGGGTATCGATCCCAGTACTTCCCGCATGCGAAGCGGGCGCTCTCCCATTTGAGCTAATCCCCCATTCACGTACTTTGGTCAGTGGAAAAAGGAGTTGGAGTGTAAATGTAAATATGTAAGTATCGTGTTATCCACTCCCCTTAGGGCTTTTCAGGGATAATTTACAACACTGGTTGGGGGACTTTGCCAGACTGCTTAAGGTGCAGTTTACAAGTAATGAAAGGAATGAGTAATGATGCCCCCATACATGGGTGTGAAAGTGAGATAGACCACTACACTGGGCACTACGTGCCCTACTCTTTACGAAGAGTGTGTGGGTTCTTTAACGTCCCACATATTTTTTATTACATGTGCAAGGGCTTGTGAGACGGGGCCTACGGTTTATCGTCCTCATCCGAGAAGACTAGAACGTCAAACCTTTTGCAGATGTTATTATTACAAAGGCAGCACTTTCTCCTCAGTTATTTAAAGACCCCGCGTGTTGGTCCGGCCTGGGTTTGAGCCTACGACCTCCCGCTTAGCAGACCGGCGCTTATCCCACTGAGCTAACCGGGCGGCGGTTAGAAGCGTCAACTATTAGTTATGAGGCTTCCACGAACGAAATGAAACTTGGAAGAGACGTCGAAATAAGTAAACTGCGAGGTCACTTTCGATGCTGGTGCTGGTGGGAATATCAGGTTTGCGCTATGAGCAATGGCATGTGCAAGATCTTGTGACCAAGTGCACGGGCGTTCCACGTTTTGTTTGCAGAAGGCTTGTCAGAGTTTGTTTCACTGGTAAAAAGTTTTTAAAAGTCATCGATACTAGAGAAACTGCTTTTAGGCACAAGTTTACAAGTTAAATTCCATAATTTGACAATCCTGTTTTAAAGTAAGAGGCCTCAAATGTGGAAGTTTTAGAAAGGAATTTTTAAGTTGAAGAAATCACTTTGCCTGGTACGGCCATGAGTTACAAAAGAAACGAAATTATGTTCTTTTAGATCTATTTGCCCATACAAGCATTTGTAGAAAAATGTTATATCATTAAGCTCTCTATCATATACTTGTGGTAAGATGTCCAGTCTAATTAGCATTTTCCTTGACTGCCACGTTTGTCAATAGTGGGAAAGTGCGCTTTAGTAGTCCAAGCTGCTTATTTGCTCTCGAGATAACAGCGTTGATATGCTTGTCCGATGAAAGTGTGCTGGTGACAATGATTCCAAGGTCCTTCTCTAGCTTTCTCCTCAGCCACTTTCTTCAGTAGCACCTTGTTGAGGGTGTAGTCATATCTGAAGAGTTGCTTCTTGCGTGTGACTGTTAGGACTTTGCATTTAGAGCTGTTAAAATTGGATGTTGTTACAACGCTTCCAACTGGCCATATTTGATAGAGTGGACAGTACAGCCTCGCAATCTCGAGCACACTTAACAGCACCAAAAATCTTCGAATCATCTTGATCAGCATAAAGCGCAGTATTTACTTCACCTTTTGCAGCATTAGGTAGATGAAAAATATAAAAATGACGAACATTAGGGACCCTAGAATAGTCCCTTGGGGCACTCCAGAGGTGACAAGGACCCATTGTCACGAAGCATTCTTATGGATAAAAATGGAGCGAACAGTAGAGTAGTCTCCTTCGCAGCCGTTTTTACGCTCGTCACGCAACGCTCCTCTCCACAAACCTGGGAAGGAGCTTTGCGTGACGAGCCTAAAAACGGCTGCGAAGGAGACTAACGATAAAGGACAAATAAAGGGAAAACTTGGTCACGTGGTATAAATTTACGTTTGACGTTTGCCGAAAACGTAATTCTAAATCTCTCTATTGCTTTTTTATTTATTGCAAATATTTTTACCTCAAGCCTAAACCTCAAGCCACATGCGTCAAAGAACACCTATAATTGGACATGGATATCTCTGCTTGTCATGTAAGTTTGGATAGAAATCCGTGTGTGATGCTATAAACAAAATGAAGGAAAAGTCAATTTTCCAAGTTGTAATTCTTCAAATAATGACAGAAAGTTTGAATAGAAATCATTTGATGTCACTCAAAAAAGTTATTTATTTTGTAAATTAGATTGGGAAACTCTTTGCATACAGATTAAACATTGATGTCAAGTGCCTTTAAAGCGGTTCCAATATTTAATTTACGTCATTTTGAAGGTTGAACGGTTCATTTCAAAAAGATAAGTATGGTGGTGTTGTGTTTGAAGTGTGAATTTGATTGCATTTTGCAGTATTTGTTTTTATTGGAAGACTGAGCGAGGACGAATATTAATTGGAACTTACTTTGGAAATTGATATTAAATTCCCTTTCAACAGAAGACCACCTCTTGCGCAAATATTTATTTTTCCCCAGGAGAATTACCAAACTTAGGTCAGTTGTTTTTACCATGGTTTTCCTTTATTTTCAAAGCAGGTGTATTTGTAACGTAAATTAATATCTACCGTTACTCAGCATCTCATTTTGTATGTGATGTTTTCTCCCTTCATAATCAGATCTATGAGAAAAGCTCTGGCGGCGGACCGGCAGCTCTGATCATATTCATAAAATCAGAATCTGATTACTGTTTTGTTGGCTTATGAACATCAGATTTTTACGCCAGTTAAGTTGTAACCTTCATTAGCGGTCACCATCAGCAGATCGAGTCGATAAATAGAAATTTATTTCGGTGCAACTCAATGCTTTGTACACGATAAGGTAGGTACAGCGTTAGAGAGGTAAGCAACTTTACACGGCCCTTTCTCGCTTTAAAAAACAGTCTCATGACTTGATAACTCTGATAGGAACGATGTTTCTCAAATCTTTCATCTTTCTTAAAGCAAAGGCATAGCGAAAAATTTATTTAATACCGCATTAGTTAGATCAACCAGATCAGTCTATAGGGCAAATGACATTTTGCAGTCAACTGAGTAAGTCATGTCCCTATAATCATAAGGTTTGACTTAATTTAAAATTTTATCGTGAGAACCTTTTCTTTAACACATATTTAATTAAATTTAAAGGCTATTTCCTTTTTTTTTTTCGCCTAGTCTAACTTAATCAGAAAACTATATCAGTACTGAAATATTACAGCCATGGATCTCAAGTTAAAGAAAAAAATTAATCAACCTAAGTGGAGATACTCATTTGTGCATCGCGGTCATAGTAAGCGGGGTGTACTGCTAGCTTTATACTTCTCTTCAAAAATAACAATTTTTTCCAGTTTCCTTTACATTGCTTTCAGAAAAAAAAGATATTCTCTTAGCCAGCATGCATCATTGATTCGATCATCATCAGTCACCTCTCACTTGCTTTGCAATAGTTAACGACCTGACAGCCTTGCGGTCGAGAAAAGTAAATAGCATGATTTTTATGTAAATTTTGTAATAAACTCTGAGGTCTTAATAGAAGCAAAATCATAATTGCTTTTTAGGGAGTTTAATAATAAGATAATTTTTTTTTTTGTTTCAAAATGAAAAAGGTAGCCTGGAGAGTTACAGGCGCTTCTAGATTTTGTGAATACTGGTTGTGACTATTTTATTTTTATGTCCTTTTTAAAGTCATTCTTATTATTTCAGTAAAGCTGAAGCTGGACAGACTCAGTTCAAAACTGATAAAAGCAAACATCATAATTCATCGTATGTGTTTTACTCCAGATTTGGAAACCTTATATAGTGCAATTCAGCTCATACTTTAATATCTTTAATCGTCATAGATGGCCTTCAAATGGTCAGCCTCATGGACAATTTTATTTTGCATTTTCGGACTACTTATTTTCAAAGGTAAGGATTCAAATTTTATAGAAAGTTATCGATAATATCAATAATATAACACGTATCATCAGTGTTTTAACGCTGATAGATACGTGAAATCAATTAAAAAGTGATTTTCCTTGGGTGAGCATCTATACTATTCCTCAAATTTTGATAATACTTTCCATTTATTCCAATTGCATTTATCATAAAGTATTTGAATTTCGTTTTGTATAGATAGGAATTGGAGTTGAAATTTCTAGCGTTAAGGAACTACACAGAAAGTTTAAAAAACTGGAAAAGAAAAAAGGTTTCTTAATGAATACTTTTTTTATAGTTTTTTGTCAACCAGTTTATCCGGTCCCTACTATCCCACTTAAGGGAAAGAAAGATGAATTTTTTTGTTGTTTTTTTTTTTCGACTCGGAAAAGAAATCCTGGTAACTGAAGCGTCGAACCCGTTTTACATAGGATTTAAGTAACAATACTGAAGTAAGACTGGAGTTAGTTTAGTCAAATTCTAGATGAGAGTACCATCGATGGACCCTCTTCCAATAAGCAGTTGCCAATCACTATTGAAATTCTTCCTTTTTTAGCAACCGGTCTGCAAATAGACGCCTCGACTGAATACAAACTACGACTTGAGATTCTTGGAAATATGGATGTAATGGTTCGCCCCGTCAAGTCTCACAGTGATGTCACTAATGTATCTTTTTCATTGGTTGTCAGATCGTTAAACGGCTTGGTACGAGTCACTTTATAAAACATATAATTTCAACCATTAAGGGACTTTGACAATCTCCCTATCATGTATTTTCCCTGGTTAATTTCTCAATAACGCTACAAAGTGAATAAGTGTTAAGATACAAGGAGTGCTTTCGACTGCACAAGGCTCTAACCTTGACCCTAAATTTTAAAAAAAATAGAATAAAATAAACTTTGAAGGGGCCAAAAATGCCCTTAAGCGCGTAATGTGGGGTCAGATGTAGGTCAAATTATTCTTCACCTGTCACCTCAACAGCCCTCACACTGAACTGATGCCCACGGTACAAATGTCATTTGTACATCACCTGTCACTTGTCACGAAGACCGACTTCGAATCATAATCAAGTCTTAGTTAATAATTAGATTAGAAGTTCATACTGGGACCTTTTTTTCAGGATAACAAGCGACAAGTACTTTCCACCAGCGTGTGGATATCTCAGGTAAGTTGATCTCATCTTGTCGGCTGTTGTTTTAGCTTCCAAGGAGTTAAGCAATACCAACTCTACATATCATCATGTAGTGTACTTAAGTTAGGTAGTGAGTCCATTTTTCCGAAGAAAGATTTGGAAAGGCCACAAAACGCCGAAGGTTAAAGAAGATCATTCGTTAAGAGCAAAATGTCTTTCGACGACAGACGCAGCCTTCGTGAATGATGTTTGCGAAGGTTTGCGAAGTTGCAGTCGAGATTTATTCCACTCTGATGGGCTATGTCGTGTTTTCGACTAAAGAGTTATTGGGTTTATATCCATTAAAACGTCAGCGGTACGCTTTCCATGTGCTGTTGTTGTCTTAGATTCAGTTCATGCAACACTCTCCGTCGATTGTATAGGTCGTGTAAGGCTACACTGCATGGCACTGGAACCCCCGGGGAGTACTCCCTCACCTGTATGGCCTTTACGGGGATGTGCCGCTGGACAGAGTATGGTTTTCGTCCTCTCATTCCTAAACATGGCATATAATTTTGCCTGAGTCTGTCCTTAACAGGGTATAAAATTTCGCTCGTCTATCCTTAAGAGTAGAGAATATTGGTCGAGTACTCCCCCGCCGGGACTGGAACGGTATCGATAAATCGGTCTATTTTAAGCGCTGAGCTTGGCTATCTCTCTTGCTAAGAATGGAGACCAATCTGCAGCAGAAGTAGTTTTCAAAAGCGCTTTACCGCTGAAAACCACCTAATGCCTTGAGTAGGGATAGGTAACTTCAAGGACGGTAAGTTCATTTATTGAACAAAATCTGCCCACCAAGAGCCATGGCTCTTGCTGCCGACTTTTTGGAATTAGTGAGTGACTACAAAGCTGATTTGTTTGCTCTTTCTGAAAGCTGGTTGACAGCCAATGACACCGCCGCGAAACTAGAGATTATTCCTTCTGGCTACAAGCTTATGAATCATCCTCCTTGCACCAAATCCTTTGTTAGTGAATTCACGTCGTATTTGGAATCTATTATTTTATCCACGGAACCAATCCTGATCGTTGGCGCTTTTAATCTTCACGTTGACGTAGCTGGTGATGCAGTCGCTGGCGATTTTCTGGATATTCTGGAATCCATGGACCTCGAACAACACGTAGCTGGACCTACTCACAACCCCGTCATACTTTGGATCTGATAATCACTCGTCAATCTGACTCGATCATAAAGAATAATCCCACAATCGGTCAATTTTTCTCTGACCGTGCAGCTGTTCTTTGTGACCTTAATTCCATAAAGCCTGAAGCAAGTGTCAAAACTGTCACCAACAGGAACTTCAAGTCAGTTAACATTGAATCTTTTAAAAGTGATCTTGCTAAATCAGCCCTGTGTAATGAAAACATTGTCAATTTAAGTTATAACCTCGTCTCCAGTTATAATTCAACCCTTTCGTTACTCATCGAATCTCACGCTCCTTTGAAGACTAGAACCGTGGTTAACAGGCCTCGTGTGCCCTGGTTTAATGATTCGATCAAGGCTGCTATCAGAGAAAGTATAAAAGCGGAGCGGAAATGGAGGGCTACAAAGGTTCCAATGCATTATTCTGCATTCAAACAGCAAAAGAATCATCCAATACTCCTGATGAACCAGGCGCGTTGGACATATTACAATGGTCTACGATGCGTTCATTGAGAAAAACAGCTTCGACCAGAGCAGGCTGTTTAAAGCCACTACCTCCTTATTATCAGAATCTAAGAAATCATCCCTGCCCGGTGGATCTAACGCTGAGGTGGTTGCGAATAGCATAGGCAGGTTCTACTGTGTCGACACAAGACATGGAGAACAATCTTGCTTCTAATTCATTTACCAGCTTTAAATCGCTGTCAATTGACGACGTACGGCACATTATTATGCGATCTTCAAAAAAGTCATGTTCATTAGATCCTATACCCACGTCATTGGTAGTTAAGTGTATCGATGAACTTGTGCCTGTAATTACGTTAATTATTAATTTATCCTTGCAGTCTGGTCATTTCCCTGAAGTATGAAAGAGGCAATAGTGACACCTTTATTAAAGAAGTGTGCATCTGACTCGTCCAATTTTAAGAATCTTCGTCCTGTTAGTAATCTATCGTATATTTCCAAGCTCACAGAGAGTGCTGTTGCAGATACGATTCAGTCGCACTTGGATAAGAACAATCTGTGTCCAGTTTTCCAGTCTGCATACAGGAAACTTCATAGTACGGAAACAGCTTTGATGAAAGTTCACAATAATATTCTGACAAACATGAACAAGCAGCATGTGACTCTCCTCGTTCTGTTAGACTTGAGCGCTGCCTTCGATACTGTCGACCCTAGTATTTTGCTAACACGTTTAAGATCAAAGCTGGGTCTGAATGGAACTGCTCTTTCGTGGTTCTGCTCTTATCTACCTGGAAGAACACAACGAATATCTGTTCAGAGAGCCCTTTCAAATGGATTCATTTTCGTTGTGGCGTTCCCCAGGGATGACGCCTAGGTCCACTTTTGTTTAACATATATTCAAGCAAAATCTTTGACATTGTCGGTCGTAACCCTCCAAAAGTTCATTGTTAAGCAGATGACTCCCAGCTTTATTTATCGCTTAACCCAAGCCGTGCTTAGTTTTAGTCAAGATGAGGCGATTAGATCAATGGAAACCTGTATCTTGGATGTTAAGCAGTGGATGACCTCGGACAAACTTATCCTTTTGACGACAAAACCGAATTTATTTTAAAAGCATCACCACTATTGAAAAAGGCTGCTGTTAACACTATCAGGGTAGGGGATTGCGATGTAAGCAAAGTGTCTGTTATGCGGAATTTAGGTGCGTGGTTCGATGATCAACTTACTATGATCGTAGACATTACCAAATAAGCAGTGCTGCTTTCTATCACTTGCACAACATTAGACGCATAAGGAAATACCTTTCAATGGATGCAGTCGCCACTCTTATCCACTCTTTTGTTAGTAGCCGAATAGACTACTGCAATAGTCTATTATATGGTGTGCCTAAGTGCCATATTGAAAAGTTGCAGAGAGTTCAAAACGCAGCCACCAGACTTGTCGTTATGCAGGGCAAATTTTGCCATATTACCCCAGTGCTCCATCAGCCGCATTGGCTTCCTCTCTCATTTCGTATTAACTTTAAGATTTTACTTTTAACTTTGAAAGCCATTTATGAATTAGCACCGTCCTATATCAATGATCTTGTTAAAATGAAGCCTTTAAACTCAAGATATAGCCTGCGATCTAACGACGGAATACTGCTGTGTCACCCGAATTTTAAAACTTCAACAACCCTGGGTGACAGTGCTCTTGTTGCTGCGGTGCCTAAACTCTGGAATGATTTACCTCTGGAAATTAGAATGGCCAAATCTGTTGACACTTTCAAAAAATTTTTAAAGACGCATCTTTTTAGTAAAGCTTTTCATTCTTAGCTAGGTTTACTTAAAACTATCAAGAAAAACAAGCAGGACCTAACAAAGAGGGTTTTTGCTGAAGAAGAACTGAGAAGACTTAGTTAATCGTTTTTTTTTTCTTTCTTGCTACTAAATCCTTTCTTTTTCGCTGTAATTTTTTTCCCCGACAACAGTTTGAAATCTTTCAAAATTCATCTTTGCTCGCCACCTTAGTTTTAAAAAGACACCTCGCCCTTTTTTCCTCTTATCCATGTTGGAATTCACTTTCACATTTTTTACTAGCGGTAAGTAGGAAGCGGGCTTTCTGTTCTTCCTCGCCTTAAGGTTCACATGCTTTTTTGCATAAAATCGCTCTTCCTAAACAACAAGCTGCTCCGCAGCTTAATTATAGTGCTTATATTGTTATATGTGTTAGTTTTTTCTTGCCTACCTGCGTTCTAGGTTAATTATTTAAATGAAATAGTGAGGCGGTGAAATACTATTCGCGCATGGCTCTAAACACAGTAAGGGTGTGATGATTCTTTTAAAACTGCCTTTAAACGTCCATGTCCTAAAAACAACCGCAGATAAAAACGGCCTCGTTCTTGTCACAAATGTAAATATCAACCAAGGCGAGTTATGTTTGGTCAGTATTTACGCGCCTAATGACCAAACCCAGCAAGTAGACTTTTTCCGATTAAAATGTTAAAAAAGGATTAAAGGCTTGTTAATAGTAGGAAGTGCACCTAGCTTATTCAGCTAGTTTACAGGCACTCCGCTCAAATACTTAGAAACAAATAATTCAAATACAACATAACAGGATTTAAACAATTACTGTGCCGTGTCATTAAAATGGGCATGAACGCCTACTATGACTCTAATCACTCTCCCGTCACAAAGGACAAAGAAGGCCAGGTTTTCGGAAGTTCAACAAGTCTTTGCTTGAAAACGAAGAATTTGCCTTAAAAATGAAGTCTATTGTTATAAACGCCAAGGAGAAATACAAAGACGTTACCGACGCTAGGAACTTTTGGGAAATACTGAAAATGGAGATCAGGATTTTCTTCATTCGGTTCACCGAAGAAAAAGCTAAGGATAAAAGAAACACAGAGCAGGAACTTCTTCGAAAACTTGAGAATCTGAACGCGCAAACTGATGCGTCTCCGAATGACGATCATCTCGTCAGCGCAACACAAACGCTAAAAATAAAATTAGACCAAATTGCTGAACAAAACACTAAAAGTTTTATTGTCCGAAGCAGAAATCGATGGTATGAATCGGGTGAAAAATGTAACAAACATTTTTTCGATCTTTCGAAAAGAAGCTATAACAAAAAGCCTATAACAAAATTGAAACATGCTGAAGGTTCTGTCTCGGAAGACACAAAACTAATTTTAAATGAAATGAGAAACTTTTATGAACAACTATGGCCTCGCAAGGCCACGCACCTGCATATCTTTCATATTTTCTCAACTTTTTTGAATCGTTGCCAAGACTCAGACAATGTAAAGCAAAGCCCCTGTGAAGGTCCGATTGCTGAGGAAGAATGTTTATCTGCCCCGAAATCACTTCAAAGTAATAAGACAACCGGAACGGATGGTTTATCGGCGGTGTTCACCTTTGTTTCAAGAATGAGATCTCCAACCCTTTGATTGACTGTCTCAATAATGGGGAGTAATTTGGAGAGCTCTCCATCTCCCAGAGACAAGGGATCATTCCTTTGATTCCAAAAAAGAATAAGGACCCACTGCTTCTTAAAAACTGGCGCCCTATCTCTCTCTTATACGCAGATTACAAACTTGCAACGAGATGTTACGCAAAACGGCTGGAGAAAGTTCTTCCGCTTGTCATAGGAAGAGACCAAACAGGTTACATCAAGGGTAGAATTTACAGGTGAAAATATCCGTCTAATTTCTGACATTATCAAACAAAATGAAAAAGAAGAAGGGGCGATTCTTTTTCTCGATTTTGCAAAAGCCTTTGACTCCCTGGAATGAGGTTACCCCTTCGAGGTTCTAAACACAATGATTTTGGTCCAAATTTCCACAGCTGGATTATTTTATCAAAACACCACGAGCTGCGTTGTAAATAATGGATATACTTCAGACTTATTTCTTTCCTTCTGGAGACAAGGGTGCCCTTTCTCAGCGTTACTTTTCATTCTTGCTGTAGAACCTCCTGCGTGACTAAACTTAGTTTGTAGTGCTGACGATACCACTACCTTTACTCGCGACGATTCCTCTGCAATATCCTTATTCTCTCTGCTTGAAAAATTTGGCTCCTTTTCCGGGTTGAAAATAAACAAAACAAAAACCGAAGGGCTGTGGCTAGGATCGTGGAAAAGTAGATTAGGAAACGATGAACCTTTTGGCATTTCTTGGCCGAAGCAGTATACTTTTGGTGTAGTGTTCGCTTACGAAAAAGACGTTGGTGACAAAATCAACTTTGACGAAAAGCTTGTAAATTAAAAAAAAATTTAAGCCTTTGGTCCGGCCGACATTTTTAAAACAAACAAATTGTTAAAACAATTTTGGGAAGACTTGCCATTATCAAAACACTAGTACTCTCAAAACTGGTTTATAATTGTTCTTTACTTGAAGTACCTAACAATTTCGCTAGAAAAGTTAATTGTATAGCCTTCCCATTTCTTTGGAATCTCAAACGTGCCAAAATCAAAAGAAATACGCTGACTGGACCAATAGCAAAGGGTGGCCTCAACATAATTTTAATCAGAATTAACATTTTGTGAAAGGTTTGAACCTAGGAGTCATTTCAAAAG